CAGCCCGTGGGCTCAGGCAATCCACTCACCTCAGCCTCCCAAAGGCGTGGGATGACAGGCTGAGCCACCGAGCCCGGCTGATACTCAGAATGTTTAATGACCCCCTGATCAGACTGAGTGTCAGGGCTGGGCCAGGAGGCCCCACCTACCTTAGACTTCACTGCCTGAGGTATGGGAGATATAGGGGTCCAGGGGACCCCAACAGGTGCAGAAGGGTTTCGGTATTCTGACGGCTTGCTTTGACTGGCTAGAATCAGCTCGTGCCCTGCCCTGACCCAGCTGGTTCTCCGCCTCAACATTCAGTCGTCCCCCGGGCCTCAGAGAACGTAAGGTCCAGACCCACCCCATACACAAGGTGGCGAGGCAGCCTGCCCTGGGACAGGCTGGGGTACCGGGAGCTTGGACCGTGAGGCTGGTGTGAGGATAATGTTGAGGAAGAGGCGGAGGTGATGATTTATTCCAGGGGAAGCAGCAGGAGGGTGCAGAGGTCTCCGAGGGAGAGAAGGCGGGAGATGGCTCAGCTTGTCGGAGAGAACGGAGGCGCAGCGAGATGTGGGCTCTGGATGCAGACGGCTGGGGGCTGTCTTGGGGGAGACGGTGTCGGAGATGGAGCTGCAGGGCTTGTTGAAACCAGGAGGGCAGAGAGTGAGAGGCGTGTGGGCAGCCCGCCAGAAGAGAAGGGGTGCGGAGAAGGGCCCTGGCAAGTGCCAGGGAGCAGGGGGCGGGGTGCTGGGGGGGGCTGGGGCTCATGCGGGTCTCAGAAACGGAGTGCTCAGGGCGCTGGAGAGGCTCTGGGGATCCCTTGGGAAGGGGAAGGGAGCCAGGGAAGGGAGGATTGCCGGGAACAAGGCGGAGCAGAGGGGTGGGCGCGACTCCAAGGAGATCCTTCTAGACGAGGCGAGGCGGTATGGGCATTTCGGAAAGCTTTGAGAAGCAGCGCCCGAGAGGCAGCCGCCCATGGCTGGGGACAGCACCGCCTGGCCCTGTCCTGTGTGGCTCAGGCACACCCCGGGGGCCGGAAACCACCCTCCCCACTCCCTGATGGAGCAGGCAGTGGTCTCTGGAGGGGCCAGTGGACACTTCCTCTGGGGCCTGGAGGAAATGAAGTTGCATAGAGACCCTTTTCCACAAAGGCGTGGAGACGGGTTATCTGACGCGAGAGGGAAGGGGGCGGTTGACAGGGACAGAAGTTTCTGAGCTCACACTGGACAGTGAGTTGGGCACCCAGGGGGTGCGTGTCAGAGTTGCCCTGCATGGAGAGAGGGCAGGTTCAGGCTTGGCATTTGCAGAGTCTAAGGATGAATTTTTGTATTTTTTTTTTCTATGGATGAACTTCCCCAAGCCCTAAAATCATTATCTTTGGAACTCAAATTGCTGCTGCTATTGTCACTATACTCCCTATTTCAGGGTCTGACATTTCTTGCATTAGTTCATGTATTTCAGGGTCTGCCTTTTCTCGCATTAGTTCATGCAATTCTCACAGCCACCCTAGGAGGGAAGAGATAAGGAAACTGAGGTCAGAGAGCTTAGGTGGCTTGCTTGAGATCACACAGCTGGGAAGTAGCAGGTGGAATTCAAATGCAGGTCTGCCTGGTGTTCGAGCCCACTCTGTCTGCCGGTATGCCTGTCTGCCTCCCTCCAGGCTTTTGGCTTAGTGTTTTAAGTTTCTATTTGCATGAGTTTGTCTACCTTATGTTAGCTGTCTCAGAAGGCAAAACAGCAGAGAACACTAATGTGTGTGTGTGCACGCGTGTGTGCCCACGCGCTTGAATCCTCTCTCTCTTTGGCTTCTATCCATTTATTCTCAATGTCTTTTTTTTTTTGAGTTGGAGTCTCACTCCTTCGCCCAGGCTGTAGTGCAGTGGCATGCATGCTCACAGCCACCCCAGCGTCGACCTGCTGGGCTCCAGCGATCCTTCCGCCTAAGCCTTCCGAGTAGCCAGAACTACAGACATGTGCTACCACGCCTGGCTATTTTTAATTTTATTGTAGAGACGAGGTCTTGCCAAGTTGCCCAGGCTGATCTCGAACCCGCGGGCTTGGGCAGTTCACTCGCCTCAGCCTCCCAAAGTGCTGTGTTGAGAGCCTGAGCCACCGAGCCCAGCCTCAATGTCTTATCAGTGATGACGAGAATGACAATAGAGTGAGACTGTCTTAATGTCACACCCAGTTCTAAGAAGAGGAAGCACTAAAGAATCAAAACAGATCTATAAAAAATTAGACTGTGGGCTGGGTGTGGTGGCTCACGCCTGTAATTTCAGCACTTTGGGCAGCCGAGGCAGAATGATTGCTTGAGCCCAGGCATTCAAGACCAGCCTAGGCAACATAGCCAGACTTGTCTATACAAAATAATAATAATAATAATAAATTAGCCCAGGGTGGTGGTGCACACCTATAGTCCCAGCTGCTCGGGAGAATGACCTGAGCCCAGGAGGTCGAGGCTGAGGTAAGCCGTGATTGTGCCACTGCATTCCAGCCTTGGTGGCAGAGCGAGATCCGATTTAAAAAAAAAGAAAAGAAAGTAGAATGTGAATGACTCGGATCCTTGCACGTGCTCCTAAATGCATGTAATTGAACATTTGAGAACCTGGTACTCAGAGGGCATCACTGTGTTGTCCACCCCCTTCATTCTCTCTCCCCTTCTCTTTAGCAGGACCTCGACTCCTGAGAGTCAGGCTGCGGCCTCTGAGAGAGATCGTGAATCGATATATACCATTTCTGGGCCAAATTTCTCCTCCGACATCACACACGCTCCGTATCTCTCGTCTGAATTGCCTCCCAGATATGAAGAAAAGGAAAATGCCACGGCTGCATCCTTGTCTCCGCCTTCTGAGCCGTCCCCGCCATGAGCTATGGACTCCAATTTTATACCTAATGGATCACTATTTTATTTAATTTGTTTTTTAATAAAAAGTTGCAATTGGCTAAGCTCTGATGTTCCTGATACAGCATCAACAAGGGGAACAAACTGCCCAGGTTAGAGCCCAGCTGTTGATGCTTCCGACGGTGGGAGAGGCAATGGACCCACGGGCCAGGCACCGAACATGGTTTTTTCGTGTAGACTGCACCCCCGGGAGATCGGCAAGATTATTTTTATTGGTGGCTAAAGAAGCAAAGTCTCAGAGAGGCTAATTAGCTTCTTCAAGGTCACATCGCGTCTCGACGGTGAGCTTGGTTTTGAACCCATCTGGCTGGTTTCTGAAAGGCAGGTTCCTGTCACCATCTGGTGCTCAAAGGCCAACCGGAAGCAGTTGTTAATGTTTAGCCTGGTCTGTTCTGTCTCTGGGTTAGTTACTTCTGGAACAGAGAAGCACAATTACTCTCTGAATTTCCTTGTTCTTTCTTCTTCTCTCTTCTCTTCCCATTCCTCTTTTATTCTTTTTGAAATAAGATAATTAGGAGCCTTTAGGCCGGGGCAGTCACAAGCATACGGATACCCCGAGTCTCCTAATAGTGACATTTCTTTCGTGTGTGTGTGTATGTGGAGATGAGGTCTTGCTATGTTGTCCAGGCCTCGGCCTCCCAAAGCACCGGGATTATACGCGTGAGCTGGAAGTGACTTTTCTTGACAAGAATTTCTTGGGACACTTTGGCAACTAGATTCCCTTTGAGAGGACCAGGAAGGATTTGCTTTTCTGTTTGATAATGTGCTGGTACAAAACTGTCTGAACCATCAACTTTTTTATTTTTGTAAGGATACCACTAGCTAAAACCTGTTGTATGGTTAAGTATGGTTACATATATTTATCTGATGTTAGATATAAACCTTAAGAAATAATGTCTAATTATTACTATTTCTACCTGGGAGAAACTGATTTTTAGAATATGAAATCTATAGCAACTTTAACATTTTTGGTGACCAAATGTGATGTAGCAAAAATGTGTTTTTCATGCCCTTTACACAAGCTATAACTCCCCCCCAAATCAGTATTTTCCAGCATGTGAGAACGTGGAAGCAGAGCTAAAGGGCATCCATGCTCCAACAGCTTGACTAAAGTAATGACTGATTTCATGTGAATCACCACCTTGATAAACGAGGGTGGCAGTAGTTTAGTACCAGTGGTACTAAACTACTAAATTGGACATTTATTGGGTCGAACTGCTCTTAAGATTCTGCTTTTTTTCCTCCTGGGAGGTTAATTATTCACATTTTAAAATTAGAACAAAGGGTAGATTATCACCACTTCCTTCGGCTGTTATTTGTTTAAACTGATTAAACTGAAACTTCTAGGTAGAATTACTTTTTTTTTTTTTTTGAGTTAGAGTCTCATTCTGTTGCCCAGGCTGGAGTGCAGTGGCACGCTCATGGTCACTGCAGCCTCAAGCTGCTGGGTTCAGGCAAGCCTTCCACCTCAGCCTTCCAAGTAGCTGGAATACAGGGCGTGCCACCATGCCTGGCTAATTTTTATGATTTATTTTAGAGACGAGATCTCACCAAGTTGCCCTAGCTGGTCTCGAACCCCTGGACTCGGGCAATCCTCTCGCCTCAGCCTCCCAAAGTGCTGGGATTACAGGCTTGAACCACTGTGCCTGGCCAATAGAATTACTTTTAAACACTTATGAGTCTTCATGTATATATAATCAGGAGGCTTTTTAATAGCTCTGCATTGGGGTTTGTAACTGGGTACTTCACGTTCACATGCTAATAAACAAATGTGCGGTTAGGAATGCTCAGAGGTCAGGCTGACCTCCTGGTTATGGAAATCTGTTCTGCCTCCATTGGGTCTTTGTGGTATTCTGTAAACTAGGGCCTGAAGCCAGGGTCTGTAAAACCTCCCAGCATTGCAGGGGTGAAGGTGTGAAGCTGTTTATTGTGGAGCTGAAATCACACGCCAATCTGGGGCCAAGCAACAAGCAGGATTCGGTCTTTGTCCCAGTGTTGGCAGAAGATGACGGCTCCGAAAACACACTGGGTAAACCAGGGCTCGCTTTTTTTCTCAGATGTGTTAACTTTCTTTTCTTTTTTCAAAAAATTGAGGGGAAATTTGTGCAACACAATGAGCCGTTTTATTCATTCATTCATTCGTTCATTGCCTGACGGGTCATGTGCCGATGTTATACCAAGGTTTGAGGGTGACACTGCTCATGCATCCTTGTGAACACCCAATTATCACACTTATGAACTATAAAAGACTCAAAATGGGTCATTTTAAAGTGAACACATCAGCAGCATTTAGTGCATTCACAGTGTTGTACACACTACCCCTTCTAATGCTAAAAAAATCCCCTCACCTCCCCCACCCTTAAAACCTCCAGTCCCTGGCAACCATCGGTCTGCTTTCTGTCTCCATGGGTTTACCTATCCTGGGCATTCCATGGAAGTGGATCATAGCATCTGTGACCTTTTGTGTCTCGCTTCCTTCGTTCAGCATGTCTTCAAGGTTTATCCACGTGGTTGCATATATCAGCAGCTCGTTCCTTTTTTCGGCGAGTACTACTCCGTCGTGTGTGTTGGGACCACAGTTTGCTTATCCGTGAATCCACTGTTGATGGGCATTTGCGTTGTGCTCACCTTTTATCTGTGGTGAAGAGCGCAGGTATAAACAATTGCATGCAAGTATTTGTTGGGACACCTGCTTTCAGTTCTTTGAGGTCTACACCTAGCAGTGGGCTGGCTGGACCATGCCTGCTGACTTTAGGTTGTGTAGGAACCACTGTATTGTTTCCCACAGTGGTGGTGCACCATTTTACACTCCCACCAGCAATGTAGGAAAATTCCAATTTTTCCACATTCTCATCATTTTTGCGGGGGGAGGACCAAATATCCTTCTTTCTTTCTGAGTTGGAGTCTCACTCCGTCTCCCAGGCTGGAGTTCAGTGACACACTCGCGGCCACACCAGCCACGACCTGCTGGGCTCCGGCCGTCCTTCCGCCTCAGTCTTCCAAGGATCTGGAACTACAGGCGCACGCTGCCAAGCCCGGATAATGTTTAAAAATTTATTTATTATAAGACAAGGTCTGGCCAAGCTGCCCCAGCGAGTCTCAAATCCACTGGCCTCCGCCTCCCATGGTGCTGGGATTACGGGCTGAGTCACCCAGCCCGGTCCCCAGTTTCTTTATTAGAGGGAAAGACACAAATCAGAGAACTGCAGCGGACGTTTAGAAAGGTAAAGGCGCGGCCCGTAGAAAGGTAAAGGAAAGCCTGGCACGCACGCCCTGCCTTGGTGACCAGGGAAGTCACCCGGTCGCTCGGGAAGCCTGGCTGTCAGCCCCTCTCCCAGGGTGCTTGTCAGAGAGCTCCTGCCAGGCCGGCTTCGGGGCTCCCATCACGCGCAAGGTGGGGCCACGCCGTCCCCCGTCCTCGACAGACTGCACCCCGCGGCAGGGGCTGCGCCTCCACGAAGTCA